TCTTTGATGGTGGAAAAAGCTTAGATATTTGCAATTAGCTGTCAAATTTGAACCTAAATTAGTACTTGTGATGTTGATTAAGTAATTTTTTTTGTATTTTGCTATTTAATTTGAACATGTTTTAGTTACTTGCTGCTTTGGACTCTCTCTGTGATTCATTTGATTAAGGACTGGTTTTTTTAAACGTAATGCAGAGGAAATGTCTATAGAGGCGAAAAGTTCCTATTTTGATCTACCAGCTTTGGATGTTTCTGTTGCATTTCCTCAAGCAACACCAGCGTCCGTCTTTCCTAAATGCAGTAAGATTGATTTTTACTCTACTTATTTGTGTATTTATACCGTTCGTTATTTGAAGAAAGAGTTGGATGAAAAATTTGTGTTGATCTCTTCCTTTAAGGACTGAGTTATCTTTGTTACGGGGTAGTTTGATATTCGAGCTGATCAGCTCTTGGTAACATTTGAAAAGATCATTTTTGTGGTCACAATGCTAGGGGTTTCACTAACTGGGATGTAAACTTTACAGCTTCGGACTATTATCAGCTTGATGATCTCTTGACTTCTGAAGAGAAAGCCATCAGACTGAAAGTGAGAGAGTGCATGGAAAAAGAAATTGCTCCTATAATGACAAAGGTATCAGTATTCCGCAGTTCTCTGTATTTCCTGTATGTGTAAAATATTTAGTTGAAAATTTAGTTAATAAAAAACAAAGACATACTCATAATTCTCCCAATGAACTCGAATTTCCAAGTAAAAGGTTGAGCATTGGATACTTATCCCTTTCTTGATTTGATTGTGCAGTACTGGGAGAAAGCAGAGTTTCCGTTTGAAGTCATTCCGAAACTTGGTGCTTTGCACATATCTGGTGGCACTATAAAGGTGTTTTTATATAGCAGTAGGAATTGGCAGATTTACAGTTAATGAATCCTTCTCAATTTCTATAACGCATGTATTTACTTTCTGGTTCAGGGGTATGGTTGCCCAGGTTTATCAGTAACTGGAAGTGCCATTGCCCTAGCAGAAATTGCCAGAGTTGATGCAAGCTGCTCTACATTCATTTTGGTGCATTCATCTTTGGCAATGCTCACTATTGGTAAATCAGTTTTATTATCCGAAGTTTCTGTCTGCACCATTTTTATTTATTTGGAGCTTTGGGAATTTCAGACATAATCGTCTTAAATAACGATAGACAACTTCTTATACATTGATTTTCTTTCAACAATAGGACTATTGGGATCAGAAATGCAAAGGCAAAAATACTTGCCATCTCTGGCTGATCTTAGCAGTATATCTTGTTGGGTAAGATGCTTGGTTAGTTGTTGACTTTGCATTAGCATCTGTTCTTCTATAGATAAGTAGTTATAATCTTTAATCTTTTGGGAATTAGGGTCTAACTGAGCCAGACTATGGAAGCGATGCAAGTGCTTTGAGGACCACTGCCACAAAGGTCTAGAATCTAAAATTTAATCCTGGTTATTAATGTATATACCGTTCATCATTATTTTGTTCTTTTTAGGGTAAAAGGCTGCTTAATATGTGCCCCTTCCCTTTCTTTTGCAATCTCTAATGGTTAGGTTGAAGGAGGCTGGATCCTTGAAGGGCAAAAACGGTGGATAGGAAACAGCACTTTTGCAGATGTGTTGGTTATATTTGCTAGAAACACAGCCACAAACCAAATAAATGGGTAAGTAACAGTATGCTTTCTAGATAATCAAGTCCACCACATCTTTCACTTATTGCAAGCATGTCTTGAAACCATTCTGAAAGTGTCTTGTGATAAAAAATTCAGTGGTTACTAGCTTTCACCATCTTGAGACTTGGGTTTAGTTTAGGATAAATGCTGGTAGTTATATTTCTTTTAACTTCTTGTAGAACAATTTGGTTGTTACTTGTTCCTATACTCGGTATTCTAGAAGTATAACTATAATACTGAGTTTTGTAGGAGGTCACTTTGCTCATACCCCCCTCTCACTGAAATATACATTCTATATGTCCCTCTGCCCTGAACTTCTAATTTTTGTCTCAAAATCGGTTATTGTGTTTGTCTCAGTTTCATTGTACAGAAGGATGCTCCAGGCTTGCAATCTACTAAAATAGAAAACAAAATTGGGCTGCGGATGGTTCAAAATGGAGATATCCTCTTTAAGAAAGTGTTTGTTCCTGATGAGGATAGACTACCAGGTGTCAATTCTTTCAAGGATACAAGTAAGGTATGGCTGTGATGCTCAATTGAGGTTGATGATGCAAAATGTGCGCATATGCTTGTTTACTAATAAAGCTTGAGCAGAAGCACCATCCTGAAGTTATTGTTAGTTTATATACTAAAAGGTTTCTCACTAATGGTTGGTCCGACAAGGGAACAATAATCACATACTTACCATGTGAATTTAGATCTTAAACCTTAAGAGAATGAATTAATGTGTACTTGTAGTGATGCTAATAAAGTTATTTATATTCTTGAAAATATACCCATCCTCCACCAAATGCACCAACCCCCTAAACAAGAAAAAAGAAGATTCATTTTGGAAAAATACATAGCTATCCACAAAAAAGGAGGAAAAATGGATTAATTTTTAAACTCCTCTGATCACTATCTTTAGTTTACTAATGCATTTTTTCTTGCAGTTCAATTGTCATACTAATTGATAAAGCCATTGTTCTCATTATAACAATTTCCTATCTTTATTCCCAATAATCCAAGCATGCATCTTTACCATTCAACTTTCTTAAAGTTCTTTCATTTAAAATTCTGTCCTTTTTACGTTATTGTCAATATTTTGCTACGTGAAGTAGCTGAAATTGTCTTGACAGTCTATACTTTGTTCCTTGAATAGGTGCTTGCTGTATCACGTGTCATGGTTGCATGGCTGCCTATAGGCATTGCAATGGGTGTATATGATATGTGTCACAGGTAGTAGTTTAAATTAGATCACTTGTTTTATTTGGCCCCAACGATAGTTAATTATTTTACTGCATGCACTTTGGTTTAAATGACTTCAAGTTAACTCCTGCTGGGTAAAATAGGGGAAGTTCATTTTTGAGATTGCTATTGTCTATGATGTCCTTTTGATAAGGATTTGAGGAAAAGAACTAGGTTAGGAATTGAAGCATAGTTGTTGCATCTTTCATGTCTCATCAGTCAACATATAATCTGTCATGAAATTTATTTACTTCACAGAAATGCAGGGTAAGGCTGCATAAAATAGACCTTTGTGGTTGGCCCTTCTCCGGACCCCGTGCATAGCAGGAGCTTAGTGAACCAGGCTTCTCTTTTTTTGTATAATAGAACAGTCAATCTATAAGAGATTATAGTTCATTGATTCTCTCAAGAAATAAGTAATTGAATATAAAGTGGTCCTAGAAGTTAGTAGCTACTATTTAGAATATCTTTACCATGAAGCGGGTTAGAAGAACTTCCGTTAGCATTCTGTTGTACCCCTCAATATTTCGTTCAATGCTTTTATATAGTGTTGCCTAGTTCAACATTTCTATGGGCTAAATTATTTTCTAACTTCAAGGTATTTAAAAGAGAGGAAGCAATTCGGAGCTCCATTGGCTGCTTTCCAGCTAAATCAACAGAAGCTGGTTCAGATGTTGGGAAACATTCAGGCTATGCTTCTTGTTGGATGGCGCCTTTGCAAGTTGTACGAGAGTGGTAAAATGACTCCTGGTCAGGCTAGCTTGGGGAAGGTATAAGACGTTATTCTGCAGATTTTTAAAGTGGTTATGGATTGATCGTTTGCACTTATTAACAAATCGTTTGTTTCTAGTCATGGAATACCTTGAGGGCTAGAGAGACCGTTTCTCTTGGACGAGAATTACTTGGTGGTAATGGTATCTTGGCGGATTTCCTAGTTGCAAAGGTTTGTGGATGAAAACCACAGGATACTTTATTTTCATATTTCTTTTTTACTTGTATAGTTGTGTAGATCTCATTTCAGCAGCAGCTTACTTATTGTGGTCTCGTTTCTCCATATCTGTAGGCATTCTGTGACTTGGAGCCCATCTATACGTTCGAGGGTACCTATGATATCAACACCCTAGTAACAGGTAGAGAAATTACAGGTCTTCCTAGCTTCAAGCCAGCACCATTGAGGCCACAGAGTCGTCTGTAATGCTTCGACCATCTTCCTATTCTCTGGAAATTGTTCTGCTGAATTCAGTGCACATTAGAGTACTTGTGCTGAAAAAAGGGAACAAACTTGAGGATGTTTAATCTCTTTTAATTTCCATTATTATTATAAATAAGTCTTAGAATAAAGTGAACATTGTTATATGTGAACTTGTTCATTATTACGTATCGATTTGGCTATGTAAGCCGCTATCTACAGTTATCTTTCTGATTTTATATGAATTTTCTTATTTGAGATTTTGAAAAACTCACACCAATTAGCTCGTATTCATATTACAATATTCAGAGACAAATAAAGAGAATTTATGAAATAATATATAAATCATTCAAACAATCTGTTAAAAGTTTTGATGTGCATAGGTATGGACATGAATGTTAAGTTTTGATGTAAAGCATTCAGGCTAAAGTGTAAAGCAGAATATACAAAATTACCTAAGCAATGATTTTTGACCTTTTTATCACTCTTAATAGTGTGATATTTTGTCTCAATTTATATGACAGATTTTTTTAAATCAGTACCAGAAAGAATGATATTTTTTTAATATTTGTAACAATTTAACTTGATAATGCTCATTTTATCCATAATGAAACGATTTATACCACTATTTATTTTCGGTTCCCTTTGAGGCTCTCCATAATCCAATCAATAAGCTAATACTCATCAGTTCTCACTTAATAATAACATATACAAGCAAAATCTAGCAGGCTTATATAACACACAAGGCCCCGTGAAATTTTATTTTCACTATGCAATATTTTCTTCTCAAAAGATTCGGAAAAATAGAAATATTTATTTCCATGACGCAGCATATGTTTTTTATTTATTTAAAAAGTACTAATATCGAGAAAAAAAGACACTTGACATTACTGCTAATTGTATGCCATGTCTGGATATTCATACTTTGCAACAAATGTTTTGACTAGATGAAAATCTACAATCATCAATTCCCCTCAATCAGGATGTAAACATTATTGGGATATGAACTTAATTATAGCCTTATTTAAGTCAGTTTTTACCTCAGTCCCAAACAAGTTGGGGTGAATCAAATTTGATACAAGTAAAATATATATAATCAGTCATGTTTCCCTTTACTATAAGGTTTTCTGACATTTGGTTATAACACAACAATGCCTGCTGCTCCTTCCATTGTCCCGGGAGTCCTAGTTCCCGAATTTTTTTATGGCTTGGCTTAATTCAGGGGTTCAATAGCAGTCAGGTTCACGAAGCAAAAATGCCTCATGGTTCTGGATATCTACTATGATATGATGCTCAGACTTACAGCAGTCCACACAATCGAGGTCTTGAGCAGATTTGCCTTCCATTTGATTTGACTAGTGCCATAACTCCAGCAATTACACCAGCACACAGTGCAGAGGACAGAATGGTATTTGTATTTCGTCCAGCTACCGAAAGTAGATTATGCTAAATTAAAATCTTGAGAAATGAAACTATAAGATAAGACTTTGGCAAATACTCTGCATACTGACAATCTCATTCAGTTCTATTAAAAAATGGAAGTAGAAAATGATACCTTGGTTAATCGTGATGGTGGTCACGGTCAATCCTCCAATTAAAAGTGCTGATGCTACTGGTAGATACTGCAATGATTTGTTCATATGATCAATAATCAGTCCAACAATGTGTTACAAAAGGAAATAGGTAATATGACCAGGCTAAATTACTGCAACAATTCAGTAGTTATTAAGACAAGTAACCACTTGGTATGGGTTTATGCTTTTTCATTATAATCTGGTCATTGATACTCATTTTCTGGTCAATTGCTTTAACAAGTTTGCACCACACACCAACACTAGTGTGTAAAAGCAGCTATACTGTCATAGAGATTTAACTTTATGAAAACAGATTGGTAAGATTCATGATTCTACAGGATGAAGAAGCCCGCCTATAATATAGGTTATTTATTTAAAGACAGTCATTGCTTACACTGAGTGAGTCGAATCCATTATTCTGGAACGGAGAGGGGCTGTCCCTGTTAACACTGTAGCGACCACTTATAAGGTCCGCTGCATCCTGCAAGTGCATGGAAGTATATGGAGATTCACTTGCAATGAAAAGAGAATAAATAAGAGAGGATCATTTCATAGTAAGATAATGTCTGCAGCATGCCTGGCGAATTCCATCCTGAAAATTGTTCAAGAAATATCTTGAAATGGCACTCATCCCATCTTTTATAAGTCCTGTCATAGTCTGTTTTCCATATCTGGTACATTTTTCAAAGTAAATTTAAGGTAGAAAAATGATGCTTTTGCATTGATTTTTTTAACCCAAAATATTTCGTCCATTACCTGACAAGGTCCCGTTTTAGAGCATGTGTTCCAGAATATTCCAGGCTGATTTCATCACCTTGCTCCACCCACACTGCAATATTATTAGGAGTATGAAGTCTAAATAGACAAAGATTGCAAGTATGCATTTATTGGACCACAAATGTTACAGAGTCCATACTAGTCTTAAAGATTTCAAAATCTTCAGTGAACATAGAAATGCACTCATTTGAAGAAAGTGCACCAAGTCTTTGGAGTTGAGAATCCAAAGACCTCCGAGCCAGGTAGCTCTGCACAAGATAACAGCAGATTATAAAGGGAAAGTACAAGCGGAATCATCATATAAAATAAACAATATTATGTGTGTTTGAAGGATTTCAAGGACTCGTTCATCGAATAAAGAATAGATGTGGTTCCTCCAACCTGAGTAACATTTGTTCGATCTAGGCAGTCAATGCAGTTGGATCTAATAACTCCTCTCTGCTCTAATATAATCTTCTCTTCTGTGTCTATGAGAAAGTATCTGCTCAGCTGGATTAGTGAATTTTAGCAAGAAAAAACAGTATTATGGAGATTAAACATTCTCAAATTGAAGAGTCTTTTCCTGGCAAGCAATGCCACTGTTGGTTTAGTTTAATTCTTACCCATTTTTTTCAAAATCCTCTGCGATCTGATCATATAGAAGTTGTATGTTGTCAAAGTTTGATCCCCCACAACAGTGATGAAAGTCAAACGACACATATCTAAAACAATGCAAACAGAATCATGAAATTAGTCTTGAATTTAAGTTGGCAACACCTCAGTTATTCAATGCAGTGCAGTAGGAATAAAATTGCTGAATTATTGATTGGAAAAAGACTAAATAACTATATAACACAACACACATTATCGCTAACTGTAGAAACTATTCATACTATTCGAATCCTATCCTTTATTCAGAATGAGAGATGGGACAATCTTTCAACCAGATGTCTACTGACTTTGACGATGACTGCCATATCAGAAGATATTGGCCAACTCTTTAGTTACCACCTTTCTCTCAATCTTCTAACTTCAGACATGTGATGGCAAATATCATAGAATTAAGCGTCGGCCAACTATTAAACTCTCAAGTTCTCTCTCTACCTTCTAACTGCAGTCACTATGGAACCATGAGATGGAAATGATTCTACAGCCTCAGATAGAGAAAGGTTTAAGAGAGTCTGTCACCTCACACTTGACAGCTTTTGGATTTCTGCTGCATAAGCTGCACTTAATAGACCCTCATCACCTTGCTGCAAAAGGAGATAACGAAAATAGTCAACACATTTCTAAATGTGAAAAAGTTATTATCAGAACTAGCTCCTGTAGCAGTAAACAAAAATTGATAAGTGGTCTCATAAGAAACAGACTACTATGAAATATGACCGCTCTGACTATTAAGAAATGAAATAATAGTTACTGTTTTGACACAAATCTCATCATTCATAATGATTTTGAGATATCTTGGACCATAACATAATGCTTAAGATTATAGTAATGGATTAGAAAAGAGACAAAAAAAATCTTAGTTTTCCTGATATATTCAAAAAGGTCAATAAACACGGATACATGTATAGTTGAGCACGGAGACACGTATACTTTAAAACATTCTCCACAGTTGATGCTGCAAAATAAACGTCCACATTATAAATATCAAATCAACTCAAAGAACTAAGTATCAGCAGAAAAGCTATGTACCTTGTTTGTCAGGTCAACTGCAATGACATGCCCATATCTTTGCAAGAGATCATGAAAATGGCGCTCCACGACTTTTGGCTGAACAACGGAAGGCAATTTCTCATAATTCATACAGAAAAGATTTTAAATAAAAATAATTAGGATAAGTACATACTGTTTCCTCGTGATCGATAATATTAAGCCGTGGTTTATAGCTCAAATCAACAATTTGCTCCCACAGGAGTGGAATTGAACCTCGAATCTGAAATGCAGAAAGAGATGGTTTCTTGATGCTTAGATCATTGAAATTGTCAAAGTTCCCTCTGTTCTTTGTTAGCGCAAAGTGACATCTCAAACATACACAATTCCTCCAACAATGGAAAGAGGAAACTTAAAGAGAACATGAATATTATCAGATGAGAATAAATAGGACTAATGTTCTTTCATGCATTTAAGATATATATATATATATAAGAAAGAGAGATAACTGGCTAAAGAGAGAGAGAGGGCAGATATATAAGAGAGAGAACTGGCTAAAGAGAGAGAGAGAGGGCAAATACATAAGGGAGAGAACTAGCTAAAGAGAGAGAGAGAGAGTGCAGATATATAAGAGACAGAACTGGCTAAAGAGAGAGAGAGAGAGGGCAGATATATAAGAGACAGAACTGGCTAAAGAGAGAGAGAGAGGGGGGGCAGTTACACAAAAGAAAACAACTAGTTACTTTAGTCACACTGCTGAACTACCAAAAAGCAGCTATAACACTCATTTAGACATGGAAAAAACATCAATAAATCCTTATTTGCCAAATTAAATGTGTGAAAGCCATAGAGATGCAATTTAACTGAAAAATCATGCTTCTAAAAACCTACTTGCAAAAAAGAAGACCTGAAACCTTCAAACTCCAGCAACTGCTCAGTTTCAATAAAATTAGCAGCATCTCCTTCTAGATTAGCCCCTCTTCTCCACATTCGTGTTCCTATATTAAACACAATAATATTAACTTAGAAAACAAATTTGGGTTTGATTCCAAAAATCAATGTCACATGCTTAATGCAATAAGATTAACTTAGAAAACAAATTTGTGCTGGAGGTAAAATCAATGTCACATGCTTTGGAGGATAACAGATTATGTACCCAAGCGCCGTGTGCATCTCCTTGAAATCAATGCTATGGTAGCTGGTGAATCTTTGAGTTTAAGATGTCCAGTCTGGAAGCTTAGGTCCTGGTTAAGGAAAAAGTATTTGTACTTCCGAGAAAAGCACACGTAGTTTGGCATTTATGAATTTCATATCCTTAGGGAGGGAGGAAAGGGCGGAGGGAAAGAGAGGGAGACATGGGAGTAGGGACAAGAACTTCAGGATATTTCCTTGCAACAGAGGAACGATGAATCCATCAAGCTGCACCAACAGAAAAATGAAAGACATATTAGACAAGCTACATACCAGGGTCAAATGCACCTGATTTTTAATAATCTCATTGACAATCAACAGAAATATTTAATTTGTAACATAAAAAGGAACTTATTGTTCAGAAGAAATGTAACTATCAAACTAAGAATATCTTTAACAAACCTTATTTTCAATCAGTTCCTCCAACAGATTTTTATTCCAAACAAACCGCGGATCAGCCTGAAATTAAGCCAAAACCAAAATATTAAAGAAGAAACAACTTTACACAAATACGATATACTAATGAAAAACATTATGATGTCGGTGCATAAAGGTGATAGGAACATAGTTGTTGACGGGGATGATGCCAAAAAAATGTCTAAACCTATCTGGTATTTATCATCCATCAGGAACAATGTATCAGGAAAGCCTTTGTAGAGAAGCAAAACACCTGGCAGAGTAGTTAATATAATACTTCAACATTTAGTCCCACTCTCACATCTACATCAATTTGAGAGGTGAAACTAATCCAGCATGATATGGAAACTAAATGTGGTAGAGTGGTCAAATATGGGGAACCCAATTCAGCTTTTGGCATAGCTGTAGGCTAGTATCATGTCAGATCACATGCAAAAAGATGTCTTCAGTTGGTATTGTGACCACAATAAGTAACAGATCTTCATGAGACAAAGCTTGATCAGAGGATAGAGTATTTTTGGCAAAAAGATTTTGACTTCCGTCGCAATCACGGAAGACAACTTGATCTGATAAGGTGGCACTCAACAGATTTTACTCCAACAGAAATTAAATGTGAATCTTTGCTTACGAGTAATTGTTTATGGCACAGCCTAAAACTCATAAAGCTATCACATCCAGAAGTTATGCCGAAAATTCTTAAAGCTGTCACATCCAGAAATTTAAGAGGCTCATAAGAGTAAGAGATATAACAGGATGAAAATATATGGGCAATGACATTAACATCATCAAGTATATCTTAAGCAGTTCTTGATCACTCACTTCAATCAATATGTGCTAACCAATGGTGACGAAACGGCAGATACAATAGCCTGATTGCAATATTTATTCTCCCATAGAACTCACTGAGCCTTAACTGTTATCACTCCTTAGTCTCCCAGTGGTTAACAGTAGTAGTAGTAGTTACTTGTTGTTGTCATTTCTTACTAGTAGTTATTTGCAGTTTTTATTTTAGTAGTAGTTATTTCTCTGTAGTAGTTTGCAGTTTCTTATTCCAGTAATGTTAGGAAGTCGTGTCCTAGTTTCTAGGGGTAGTTATCTTATAAGTGTTGTATTTATATTTGTTTGTCTCAGTAATCTAAGCAGAAACTTATTAAGTTTTTGTATACTTCAAACTCAAGAGATTGCACATTCTCTCTTAACGAACAAGCACCATAGGTCAAAAAAAGAAAACCTCTTTCCATATTCCTTATTCTCTTTACATAAGCTTTGATTTTACCCTGCAACATCCCATAACTAGATCCATAACAGGGGACATTGCAGGACAAAATCAGAGTTTATGTAGAGTAAAATAAGGAATCTGTAAAGATGTTTTTTTTTCGACCTATGGTGTTAGTTCGTTAAGAGAGAACCTGCAATCTCTTGAGTTTGATGTTCTCAAAAACTTAATAAGTTCTGCTTAAACTTCATGAGACAAAAAGATAATTTAAATACAACACTTATAAAATAACTACCTCTAGAAACTAGGACATGACTTCCTAACATTACTAGAATAAGAAACTGCAAACTACTACAGAGAAATAATTAGTACTAGAATGAAAACTGCAAATAACAACTAGACAGAAATAACTACAGCAAGTAACTACTACTACTACTGTTAACCACTGGGAGACTAAGGAGTGATAACAGTAACCTTCAGCAACCTCCAAATATCAACCGAAACCAATTGGGATTAGATAAGAAAGCTACAGTGAATCATAGTAGCCTTTTTTCTTAAAACAAACTCCAACCAAAATTGAATGTAATGTTTTGTATTTCATACACACAGATGAAGGGAAAAAGGATTCCCAAGTGCTTCATAAAATGTTTTTGATACAGTAAAAGATATCAGGTGAGGTGTACATGCAAGCGGTGTCAGTTGTCGAATAGGTCACTGAGGTCTACTTTCCTTCTTTCTCCTTTCTATCTTCAATGGGTTTAATACTCAATTTAATGCACTAAGCAAGTTATCCTATCAGTGTGAATCCTTCATAAGTAGGTCCAGAAAACTTGCAGCCGCCAGAATATGTCTTCACATGCCAGTTGGAAGCAATAATATATAACATTCTACAAACATAATGTTATGAATAGTTCAAAAATAATTAGTAGACAAACCTGTTTCCAAACTGGTTTACTCATCCACCCTTTTGCCAAATTGCATCTTCTCTGCAAGCTGATAAACATATTAGATTTCTTGAAACTAAAAGAATTGGCAATGTGCAAAGTCAAGAAAATGACTGAACAAAAAATAGGTGTAATAGCACAGCTTGAACATACTTCACTGTTATATCTGTTTCATAGGAATAATACAAGCCTGGAGTTGATTCCACTATTGTCAACAAATTCATGAAGTAAGTTTCATCTCTTTTCTGCCAGCACAAGAAAAATAAAAGAGAAAAGGGCAAAGAGCTTCATCTCTTTTGTTCCATCTCAAGAAAAGTAAAAGAGAAAAGGGAAAAGTGTAAAAGACAAACGTTATTCAAATGGAAGTATATTAAGTTTAGCTATTATGATACGAAAACCATACTTCTTGACGTGTAAGATGCCTTGATGCCTCGTTGCAGGAAAGAAACTTCATGGACATCACACGGAAAATAGGAAAACCAAGATAGTTCCCCACTTCTTTCCGGGATGTTATTAATAATATATGTGATCCTACAAAAGAAGAAATTAACAGAATGTAATAAATCTTGACAGCAATTGAGTTAAATTATGATAATATCCTTTTTCTATTCCTAATCATTCCCACAATTGAAAACCTAAGTCTAATTAAGTTGACATTTAAGGAAGACCTAAACAGCTAGATTAACAACCTTACTTTTATGGATGCAGTTATAAATATGGATTTGATGAAAGATTTACAAATGTCAATTCCTCACATTGTTGTAAACGCTTGTGCATGCTTAACCAAACATATGATAAATGGTTTGACAGCAAAGGGAAGTACTAAAGTCTCAGATATATAGGTCAGGCAAAACAACAGCCAATCAAAGAAATTAAAGCCCAAAAAGCAGTAGAAAGGCAGAAGTTTCATATCAACGCAGACATGAAATGATAGGGAAAAATAAAGGAGACATGGAACCTAGGAAATGAACCTGAACTAGTATAAGCACGAAACATGGAATCCTTTAAGAGTTGTGAATTGGCTTGATCTTTCACAATAAGTTGTTTCACCAACTATATACACTTGATAGAGTAACTATATATTTATGACCATGTTTGTGAATATTTTAAACTTCAATGTGCAACTGTTTTGGAGAAGATAATTTTACACAAAAGAAAGTAGCTAAGGACTTTTAGTACTTCCATTTTGTATCTATGTGTGCCATGAATCCAAAAAGACTTATCAGAAAAATCAAACTTGATTAATAAAGGAAACACAAGTGATGCTATTAGATACTATGTGTAGATTATGTTCATTTTTTATCTATATGTGCCATGAATCCAAATAGACTTATCAGAAAAATCAAACTTCATTTATAAGGGAAACACAAGTGATGCTATGAGATACTATGTGTAGATTTTCATAGGTTTCTCCATCAGAAGTAGGGGTGGCAAAACCCACCCAACCCGTTTAAGTTTGGGCGGGTTATTGACCTGCCCATTTATTAGTTCAACCCATTAAAATTGGGTTGATATGTAACCCAAACTGACTTGAGAGAAATCTTGTCAAAATATTTTAAATTTAAAAAAAAAAAATTGATATGTTGTATATAGCCATAATAAAAATAATAATAATTTTATTAAGTACTAAAATATTGTAAAAGAACAAATAAAACAATTAAAACTTAGTAAAATTGGGTTGGGTTGGGTCTTGACCCGTTCTATAACCCATCACCCAACCCATTTTGACCCAACCCGTTTTGATCCAAGCAAATATGGGTTGCGTTGGGTCTTGCCCCATTATGACCCGCCCAAATATGACCCAACCAACCCAATTGTCACCCTAATCAGAAGAAGATGGGTTATGCAAAGTTATTTAGGATATTTAGATGCTGACATGCATTTAGAACTGTTTGCTAAAGCAAAATCAGTATTCAAACCATCTACAAGTTTACACTATCATCCCATCCATCAGCTACTTTCAACTTGTTAAGTTGTCCCAAAGTGGTTGAGGAATCGACTGTTTGTCTCCTTAAATAGTTTTGAACAATCCCCATCTCATGAGCTAGATTTTGGGATTGAGCTAAGTCTCATGTCCATTTTTAAATATGGTATCAGAGTCAGACCCATTCTTGTTATTCTATGTACCAATGTTGGGCCCTCATGTAGTGTTGTCCATACTCCAATAGGCAGGTCTTTGCTTTACTTGAGTCGAGGGTCAAGCAAGTACAGTATCTTTGTCTTTACAAGGTAAAGGGAAGGTTGCGTACACATCATCCTCCCTAGACCCACTCGTAGGACACAATGTGTATGTTATTGTTGTTAAGTTGTTCCTCCTTGACTGAAGGATGCATTGCTTGTCTCCTTGTATGGTCTTTGGACAATCTTCACATGAGTTAACTTTTGAAGTTGAGTTAGGCCAAAAATGCATTTCTTAACACAACTTATTCATCATCAGAATTGCACTGGTTTAACCACGCTGATGATGCAACTAAAATCACTAACAAAAAGAATGGCAAAGTTTGGACTACAAAGGTCAACACATAATTTCAGATTGAATGTTTTGATTTTTACCTTACTTAAAGCCTGTTTGGATGCACTTATAGCTTATGGCTTATAACCAAAAGTCATAAGTTAGGAATCCTAACTTACGACTTTTAACCTATTTTTGGCTTAAAAACAAATGTCTAAAAGCACTTTCTAATCTTAACCAAACAGTACAAAAGTGCTAAAAGCTATTTTGACTTAAAACAAGCCAATCCAAACATGCTCTAAGAAATTACAAAAACGTACTAAAAATCACATCTTTTTAAGTTGAAAAGTATTTGTTACGAATCATAGTAAAAAAAAATAATGTTCAACTCTCCAAGTAATAAAGTCATACATTTGAGTAAGTACCTGCCAAAAACCTAACTGTTCAATGGTTAAGTGTATAAGCTATTGACTACAAAGTGTTTGACAACAAAAGAGTACTATGATTTCGGAATATAGGTCAAACAAAAAACAGCCAATAAAAGAACTAAAGCCCAAAAAGAGGCAGGAATAACAACAGGGAGAAGTTTCATATAAATGCAGACATAACACATTTAAGAGGAAAATAAAGGAAACTAAAACCTAGGAGATAAACCTGAAGTAGAATAAGCATGAAATGCTAAATCCTTTGCAAATTGTGATTTGGCTTCATCTTGCACTATGAGGTTTTACCAACTTTAGCACTTATTGTTAGTTCGATATGTTATACCATTTATGAATACTTTAACCTTAGTTTAATCAAAATACACTATTCTTTTGTGAGGATAAATTTTAAACGGACAGAAAATAGCGAAGGACTTTTGTGTTCATCTACTTTATTTTTATAGGAAGTATTAATCAGTATCTGTCTGATGAATGTAAATAGATTATTAGCAAAAGAATATTAATTTAGAAAAGGAAATGCTATTAATTGTTGATGTTATATGATACCACGTGAGGATTTTTGCTACTGCACTAGAAGGACAAATAAAATTGGGTTATTTGAAGTTCTTAGGGATAGTTAACTGCTGATATGTAAAGTAGCAAATCTCATTAGCCCAAGCACATTAATTTTCACCTCCATTGAAGTATCTACTGAACTCTTCCTAAGTGAGCTTAGCAAAGAAATTTGGTATCAAGTCCAGATAAAGGAAGAGAGATATAGTGGGTTCACATAACCGATCCTAACCATTTGGAATTGAGATGTAGTTGATTGAAAGTAAAATATTTACTGCTTTATTTACCCTTAAAAGGTACAGTTGAATCTGTAAGTGTGGTTCAAAGGCATGAGGATTAAATTGATCTGATAATGAAAATATAATGAAATAGATTCCGACAATCGAATGGTAAACAATTAATAAATCAATAATAAATGTAACAAAATATGAAATGCTGAATATGGGTCCTGCATCGCCGCCCTGAAAGAGAGTTCAGAACCCTAAAACAATGCAAGCTAAATGGCATTGAATACAGAGAGATTTTGTTGTTATAATTGTAGAATAGTGAGTATGTGATGGTTACAACAATGATAAAGAGGACTATTTATACCTAAACCCTAGGTTAATTGTTTCTCTAAATCTCACCCTCATTTGAACTCCTGATTGTGTATTTATCTCCAATACACGACGTCCGGTGGGGATCTCGGGATCCCGCATAACGGCTGACTTGCTTAAGAGACCTTGGTCCGGACAGTTTCTTGTACCTGGTATCGTGTCTCCGGAGCTAGACAGACTTACACCGGCCTTGGATGTTTTATACCGAACTTATATTCTAGTTCAAGTCCGATCTACTACGTGCCAAGCCTGATTTATCCCAGGTTTTATCCTATACATGCCTCTAGCTATTTTACACTCCATCAAATTTGAAAGTAATAGAAAGATTGAATATTTGCAACTCTAAAACTGTTTACTAAAGCAAAACTCCAAAAATTCACACCATCCACAATTTACAAGCCAAGTCATTTCTATCAAGTATCAACTAACTTCAACTCAAAACCAAATAAAAACTAAAAACTCACTCATAGCATTCAAATAACTGGAATTCCATTGATTCACTAACAAGCAAGTATAGGATAAAGATTCATTTCAGTTTATTACCTGCCAACAACCTAATTGTTCCAGCAACTCCATAAATTGTAGAGACTTTTGAAGGTTTTCCAAAGCTCATATCACCTGAATAAAAATGCATGAGCAAAAGAGCACTCTTAGATTCACACCTCAAATGTCTTACATAGGTCAAATTAAATCATCTAATTCTGGAAACAAACAAAGTTTTTAAACATTCAGAAACTAAACAAAAACAGAATTTTTAAAATTAAACTGCAATTCACCATTGAGTTTCTCGATGTTCCCATCGTAGCGGCTAACGGAGAAGCCTTCAGTGGATGATTCCGTTGATCGGAAAACGAATTTGTCGGCGAACTCCTGTAATTCCAATTGGCTATATAGCTTGAAATGGTCAATTGAATTTGGTTCAATTTCCATTTGTTGTAAATTTTGGAAAAGGGCTTTTTGGGATAAATTGATGAGTCTAAAAAAAGATACTGTAGATGAAAATGCAAGAGGGTTATGAAAACGCTATAAATGATTTGTTCAATGATTGATCTCAAGACTGGATTGTCTGGAATCTACGTGGAAATGTTTAAATAAGACATACTATCAATTAGTACTTTCATAAGAAAAATATTTTGTTGGTACTAATATTTACATTTTATTTATTTTAAGTTTGACCAAAAAATAAAGACTTTGTAAAAGGTAAGGACTTTTTAAAAAGAATATATTCTGTCATGTTGAATAATTAATGTCTTTTGATTTGACGGATTAAGTTATTTAGAGATTACTTCATTTTTGAATTGATTTTTTATTTATTTTATTTGGAAGGTACTTAGATAAGATGAAATATTTGAAATTAAATTTATAATTTGTTTGGTTGAAGATAGATATATATAGAGAGAGAGAGAGTTAAATAAAATATAAATTTAATCTCAAATATTTGTCTCTTCCTCTTTTAATTTTAAATATGACTTCAAAATTGAAAGTTCAATTCATGAATACAATTGAAAATTATTCCTTCATAGAAATTAATTTTAATTAGTTTGTGAATACATTAAAATATTCAATTTAAATTAAATTTAAGACTAATTTTCACCAAATTTTATTTTTTGAAATAAATCAATGAGAAATTATGTTGTATTGCATTATTTCCAAAATATGAAAACGTATTAGATATGTTATATAAGTATTAGATATGCTAGTTAGCTGGTAAAGTAACCCTTTTAGAGTTTAGAAAACATTAATTTCTATAAGTAAACAATTCCATTCAAAGAATATTTTTCAAAAAAAACTTAGATAAAGTAATGATCCCTAGTGGGCAAGCAGTAACATAAGACTAAGCACATTTAAGACTTGTCGTAATAAAATCTACAAATATCTATAAGTAGCAAAGAAAAGAAAATCAAATTAGAATAGGATAATAGGAATTATTATCCAATTAAAAAATTATTAAGATAATATAATTTTAACAACATATTAACTAATGACAGTGATACCAATTTGGGTTGTGGTGCAATGGTGATGGACTGTTTCACCCTTAATCAAAGGTTTCAGATTCAAGTCTTGGGTATTGGAGAAAATCATGTTAGGAGCATCACCCTCAAATGGGCCCTGCAAACTGCGTGATCCAAATTTAATCAGAGCTCCAATATAGGCTCTGAACACCAGATGAAAAAAAAAACTAATGACAATGACGATCTACGATATCATGAAACTCTTAATTTAGATGATAATAATTGATTTCTAAAATATAAAATTAATTATGGCTACTCGTCCTCTATCTTTCACTGTCAAAGACTCACAATTGTTTGTATCAACTATATCAATCACCAAAATGGGCGTAATAAAAAATAAAGAATATCAAAATGCAAAAAATTATAAGTTTTACCCTTCCGTTTTAAAATAAAAACCATCTTAGTAAATAAAATACATTTCAAAAGAAGTGTCAACATAGAAATTTAAGACAAAAATAGCATATTTTCTCACTATACATCTATACTCCATCTTCTTAATAGTATTCAATTTTCAAAAGACATTATTATTAAAACAAAATACATTTTAATATCAAAATACTATTATTATTTTGCATGAATTAGTGGTGAAAGTGAACATTATTTCTTGATGTAACTTGCGTTATCATGGTATATATTCACCAACAATTTATTAAACAAGGGTATGTTTAGTAAATTATATATTTTATTTATTGATTTTTTAATGAACGTGATTTTAATTAGGGTGACACTTATTTTGAGACGGATAGAGTAAAAGATTAGACCAACTAGGATGTGGCATCATTGCTTTGGTTATAGTGTCCTTATCAGAGACAGAGTGTTGGGTTCTAGTAATATTCAATAATAATTGCAGTTTAATTAGTAGAAGTCTATTTAATTATCATGGCTAATCAGACCAAAATAAAGAGAGTGGTTAGTGTACACAAAAAGAAAAGGTCACCTTATTATAAAGTTTTATCTTTAGCAAAACACAAGCCATCAGGTATAATTATTAGTATTAGTTAGAGGTGCCAAATGGACGGATTGAGTTAAATTTGAGCGAGTCAATATGAATTGAGCTAATAAATGAGCAAGTCACTAACCTATTCAAAATGGATTGGACGAATTATATTTTCATAAGCTAATTTTGTCACCTCTCAATATAATGACCAAAAGAAGTAAAGATGGAAATCAATACTACCTAGGCCAATAGTGGAAGTTATGAACGTATGATTAAACTCAAAAGATTATGTAACTTCATATATATATATATTAGGACACCTGATAGCATTTATCGTGGTTGGTGCATAGAAATTAAACTTTGAATACATACACATGGACGAAGCTATAATTCTGCTTGAGCCTTACGGGTTCAACAAAATCTAGTAATTTTGGTTCAAATTCTCTATTTATATATTTTTTTAAAACCATTTCATATATAAATAAATAATTTATTTAGAACCAAGTAAACTACATTTTATAGAATATAAATTCCAGTACATTACATTTTCTAGAATATAAAACTCATAAACTCAATATTCTAATTCTAGCTTTGCCCATACCTTTGATTTATTTGATTACTAATAATATGTTGAACCTTTTTTTGGTACAATTAATATGTTGAACTTGCTGTATAAGAAAGATACCTTATGATCTGTTTAGTGACTGCAAATGCAAGTCATGACATATGGATATAGAATGATGAAATATCTCTGCAGAAAACCTTTCCCACCTACTAATTACTCTTGTTGGTTTTGTCTGATGGTTATCGAAAATAGTCTCTCTATCTTCACAACGTAGGAATAGGACTACGTACACATCATCCTTAACCCCACTTATGGGATTACACTGGTTATGATGTTGTTGTGGTTCTGTCCCAACTTGGCTAAATCAATATTTTGCACCAAACATGCATGACTTTCACTTCACTCATACTATGACCTAAACAAAAAAATCCTCCAAAAGCTTCTCTTATTGTCTCGTTGTTCTGTCACTTTTAAGCCTTCCAATCAGTTTACCTTGCTTCGTCTTGCAGTTAAGCTTCTCCATATTGAATTAATTCATACTCAAAATGGGATGGACAAAATCTACCAGAAGAAAACTCTCTTTGCTCATAATCACAGCCATCCTCTGTACCTTCTTGACCTTCATTTTTCTCTTGTATACTGAAAGGATCACAACTATTTCGAGGTTTAAGCTCAATTGTCCCAAAAGAAATTCTGCAGGTGTACCATCTAGTTGATTAATTTCGATCCCAATTGTTGTAATTCTATTGTTTTTTTTGTCATTGTGAACTTTTTTTGGTTTCTTGTCTTAATAGATGATAGAGCATTGGAGAGCGATTCAATAGACAATCCAGGAGACGATATTCTTGATTTTGATCCTGATGAATGCAGTGTCAATCATGGGAAATGGATGTTTAATTCTTTGATTAAGCCATTGTACACAGACAGGACTTGTCCGTATATTGATAAACAATATTCTTGTATTAAGAATGGTCGAAAAGATTCATATTATCTTCACTGGGAATGGAAGCCTGATGACTGCATGTTACCAAGGTTAGCAAGTTACTCAAATTTCAATTCTCTGTTTCTTTGTAAAATTAGTCCTATGTTGCTCGAACTTTTCAAAAAATGCCACTGGATGTATGTTAGATCCTTCAAAAGTAGTGCATTTTTGGAAGTCCACGCAACACATTGCAAAATGACATCTTGACAATTAATTCAGGTTTGATCCTGAAGTTGCCCTGCAAAAGCTTCAAGGGAAAAGACTAATGTTTGTAGGGGATTCACTACAGAGAAATCAATGGATATCTTTTATTTGTTTAGTTGAATCTGTAATCCCAAAAGACAAGAAATCCATGAAACGAGGCCGCGTTCATTCTGTATTCAAAGCTAAGGTAATTCACCATAAAAATCTTGTCTTGTTCAAGAATTTTCTTAAACAAATTAACACGGGATTGAAGTTCGAAAAAAATGTGATGTAACAGGAATATGATGCCACCATTGAGTTCTATTGGGCACCATTCTTAGTGGAATCTAACACTGATATTCCTATTAAAAGTGATCCAAAGCAGAGAATTATCAAAGTGGACTCAATTTCTCAGCGTGCCAAAAATTGGTTAGGAGCAGACATCCTTGTTTTCAATACTTATGTTTGGTGGATGAGTGGACTCAAGACCAAAGCATTGTAAGTTCTTTAATCTCGTGGTCTTAAACATGTCAGGTGAAAAATTAGAATTAAGGAGCTGTCAGAACATTCTTTTCAAAACGGACTAAAAAAAGAAAAATAAGACAAATAAATTGAAACAGACAGAGTATATTATACATAAGAAAAAAGTTGACTGATATGCACATTACAATTTTAAACTGATTAAAAAAATGCAGATGGGGTGAATTCGAAAACGGAGAAGAAGGTTATGAAGAATTAGAAACAGCAGTTTCTTATAGAGTAGCATTAAGGACATGGGCAAATTGGATTGATTCAACAATTGATCCAAGCAAAACAAAAGTTTTTTTCACTACAATGTCCCCTTCACACCAAAAGTAAGTCATCACGACAAACAAACACGTCAATTTCTTATTAAAATCGCGTTAAATCCTGTAGAACATAAACTCACACAACCTTTTGCTATCAGAAATAAAGAATGGGGGAACGTAAATGGGATCAGGTGCTTCAACGAGACGAGACCAGTAACGAAGAAGGGTCACTGGGGAACTGGTTCAAATAAAGAGATGATGAATGTTGTTGCTAGTGTCATGAGGAGAATGAAAGTTCCTGTTACAGTACTAAATGTAACGCAACTATCTGAGTACAGAATCGATGCACATACGTCGATTTATGGTGAATTGCAAGGCAAATTGTTAACAAATGAGCAAAGAGCAGATCCATTGCATTTTGCAGATTGTATACATTGGTGTTTGCCTGGAGTTCCTGATACTTGGAATCAGTTGCTTTTTGCATATTTGTAGCACAAAAAAATGTAATGCTAAAAAGTCTAAATAGAGTGAAAGAAATTCTTTGGTAAATTCTTGTAACCACATTGATTCAATACGCAAAGTAATGTTTGGTAAAAATGACTTTCCGGGTTGTTTGTAGGTCGGTTTGATTCAGTTTATGTATTACTAGTTTGGTTTATGATTTTCGGTTTGTAAACGGGATAAAATGATAACCAAATCAATAAGATATTTGTCATCCATTTTCAGCTGATTGCATTTTGGTTCTTAATGGTAAGTTTTTAATTTAATCGATAAGAATATGTTCCGCTATTTTATTTTATTTTGCTTTTTTCTTGTTTTCATTTGTTCATATATATAATACACGCTTTTGGGCATAAAAGTCTTACATAAATTACAAGCAGGGAAAAAAATTCTAATGACCTATTGCTAAAACAAATTTGTTTTCTTTGTGGTTAAGTAGCAAACTTGGATGTAGTAGCACTATCTCAACAACTATAAAATGCAAAAGAAAATACAATTTGTATTTAAAAACTAAGTCCACTATTATATGATAAAGGAATAAAATGATAATTTTAGTAGAATTCTATTGGATTATCAATTTAATCATTAACTAAAATAAAAAAATCTATTGAATAGCCCAATGAAAACCATACAAAATCATTTAAAAGCGGTTAATTCAATAACCAAATACTGATAAATCAGTAAAAAAAAAATTTTAGTTAAATCAAATAATCGAAAAACGATAAGGCATGCCACCTCATTAATCTCTTTATAGCATTGTTGAATTTTATTGTGAAGACTAGCGAGAAGATCTCCTATCATTTTTATTTCTCTTTATATGAGTCGTTCCAACTAAAAAAAATAAAATCCGTATAGGTAGTTTTTCTTTAATTTTCATAATGCTATATTTAAGGTAAAATGTAATCTATTTTGAAATTATTCTTTCCAAAACATCTTTATGAATTTTGAATCAGATAAAAGAAAACTTGAAAGGAAGAATGAAATATTCCTTCTTCAATAGAATATGTTTTTGATAAAGATTAGAGTGAAATTTACTATGTGACAACATGCGATTTGATTCAATTTTTTTCAATTTAGATCAATTTTTATTTAAACTGTGACCACCTTTAGTAACAATAGTTCAATGTAATAATTCACTGTTTATTAGTATATCAAATTCGCTTGTATTGATTCGTTATACTTATACATCATAGAAAACAAATGCAACACATACAAAATGAATTGACACATTAATACCAGAACAAACCGATATAGTTACAAGCAAACAAATACAAAGTAACATATAACACTTTTTTTTTAAACAAAAAAAAAGACACTAAAACTTGGTAGAATTGAAGTAGGTACTCTCTTTATTTTTGATAAATATATAACATATCTTTATCCGAGTAGGTAATTTTTCTTCGAAAAAAGAAGGGGAAATTTTCACAAATAATCACTATAATAAACTTAATTACTATGTTTCATAGTTATAATTTGCATATTTACGGGTTGTATCTACAGTTTAAGCCGTCTCATTTATATAATTCGCGGGTGAGTTTGTATAAATCAGTTGGTACATTTGTATAATTGAATTATTTTTGTATAAACTCGAAATAACTAATTTATACAAACACAAACATCTGAACATTAAACAGTTATATAAATTATATTATACAAAAGTTATACAAATTTTGAATTATACAAACTCAGAATAACGAATTTATACAAGCACAAACATCTGAACATTAAACAGTTATACAAATTATATGATACAAAAGTTATACAAATTTTGAATTATACAAACTCAGAATAACGAATTTATACAAGCACAAACATCTGAACATTAAACAGTTATACAAATTATATTATACAAAAGTTATACAAATTTTGAATTATACAAACTCGAAACCCTAGCCCACATAATTATTACTGAATATTAGTCGCAAGTGATAATTAACTAAAATTATAGCTATGATGACTAATTAACTAATACAAAAAAGTGATTTCGAAATGCTTACGAATCCAAGCCCATCTGTGAAAGCCCAACAATCTCTTCTCGTCTATTTTCGAAGTTAAGAGTTCAAATTTCTGGAAGCTTCGGGAACCTAATATAGCTGATTCCTTGTTCCCCAAGTTCCCAAAATCAGAACAAAGACATAACTTCCATATATATTTCTATAGAAAAGAGTGTTAGGAATCAGCTATGGCGGGAGGAGGAAACTTTCTTCAGAGGGTTATTTCTTACGTAGCCAACGAGTTGATCGTCAATGGACTCGCCAACAAGTAATCTATTGTTCTTTGCTTTTGGTTTATTTTCTTATCTATTTATATTTCAGTATTTTCTGTAAAGGGAAAATGTGTATTCGAATATATTCATACAATCGATTGAAACATGTTAAACCTGTTTGCTAAACATACTCTGTTATTGTCTTCAGTTAACAATTTATAATCTAGCTCGCTCTTTTCAAGTTTGAAGTAATCACAAAATGATCGAGTAAGGTAGGGATGACGATGGGGCGGAGGCAGGGTAGGTAACAGTGTTTGCAGGTCGAATTTAGGCCATAAATTAGCCCAACATAAAGTTTAGGGGTGTATGGAATAAAACTCGTCAAGTTGATCAAGTGTTCCCCATCTATTCAACAATAAATTAATGAAATTTAGGAGTAATCAATGAGGGTACATAAATTCAATCATTAATTTTTGAATTGAGAGAGTTCACCAACATGTTTGCAGTGTCCTATCAAGTGTGGGGGTTGTTGTTGGAGTATCCTATATCATGTTTGGGGTTGTGGTTTTAGTTCATTTCATCTTAAGCTTGCCAAAGATGGCTCTATAGGCTTGTAGGTTGTAATGATTGTGAAGATGATGGAAATTTAGCATTATCATACAGCCATACAATCTCTATTTTATCTTCTTTTTTATTGAGAAAGTTTTTAGTGATGTTGCACTTTTGTGTTGTGCTGGCTTGAGGGAATGATTTTTTTCCCTTCAAAGTGAGTTGTGTGTTCCTTTATGTTTTATTTTTTGATAACATTGGTGTTTGTACCATCTTGGGTGCTCTTCGACTAAGTTAATTCCCCAAATAAACGACAACAAATACACACTTCATCAGCCTCTTAGAATTTCAAAAACTCAAAGAACAAGAACAGCAAACAAAAGAAAGAACAATTTTTTAGCTGAAGAAACACACTATAGGTTAAATTAGAAATTTAACTAACCGATCCTAAAAAATCTAATTTATAACAAACTATTTAATCAAGTCCCAAAATTCAAGCAACTCAATACCAGAAATCATTTGTTTCGATTCGACTCCATGCTCGAACCGTGCTAGATTCAGCAATGCACGTCCCCACCTCGCCAAGTTCTGCATTCAACATCACATAACAAAAACAACAAACTCGTTTATTCAACAAAGCATCGAAGTTCAAATTAAACGCAAAACATATCAAACAGCTGAAATCCAATTAGAACGATAAAACAGAAACGATAAATGAAGAGAAAGAGGAGATACTGACATCACCATCACGCGGATTCTGAGGATAAGAGGTTTCAGCACTCTTCCGATCGCGTTCGAGGGAGAGGCGCATCTCCATTGCTGAGGTGCTTCGATTCGATTTTAGGGTTCTAGTTAAATTTGATTTTAGGGTTCTAGTTAAATAATGGTCGACACGTCATTAGTTTGAGAAAATAGGCATAATACATATATTGGACCTTAAACTTGGCTTCAAATTTTAACTTTGACCTCCAACTTTCATAGTGCACAAACAAGCACTTTAACTATCCAACCTTTTAATAAATAAACATGCGATTTTTGGAGCCAAGAGCGTGAAATGCACACGCTGCCACGTGTATTATTGAGCCACTCAATGGCTGCCAACTAATTAAACACTTTACACGTCCATTTTAGAACTAAAAAAAAAAAAAAAATTAATCAAGGGTAGAGTTGTCATTTCAACATTTTTTTCACTGTTTGTGCCTCAAAAATTACTTCTCACTCGCGCAAAATGCGTGCACATCACGCGTTTTGCCAGGTAAGACACGTGTGTTTATTTATTAAAATGTTGGATAGTTAAAGTGTCTATTTGTGCACTTTGAAAGTTGGAGGTCAAAGTTAAAATTTGAAGTCAAGTTTAAGGTCAAATATATGTATTATCCCTTTCAATTTCAACAAATGAAAAGATAAAAAGGAATTTCTTGCAGCTTTAGTAACACAAAATATTACTATGAAGTTGTTGCATTACTATTGTAGCTTTTTAGGCAAGTTATAGCTTCAATAGAGGCAGTTGTATTTACAAGTATTACCACTTCTCGCGTTGCTGGCTACTTGTAGACCTCCTAATTGATATAAAATTGTTGATAGAGTGAAAATGATGTTGTGTGCCAGGAACTAATTTTGTAGGGAGTGTTTGGAATTACTTCATGTGACTGACCTATCAAAAGAAAAAAAAACACGCAACTAGTTCTCTGTTTAAAAGGATGAACTATTCCTACGACAAGTGGAAACAGATCCCTCTGCTACCATGGGAAATCTATTTTTTTATTTTTTGATAACATTGGTGTTTGTACCATCTTGTGTGCTCTTCAACTAATTTCAATTTCAACAAATGAAAAGATAAAAAAGAATTTCTTGCAGCTTTAGTTATACAAAATATTAAGAATCTGTGAAGTTGTTGTTGCATTACTGTTGTAGCGTTTTAGGCAAGTTATAGCTTCAATGGAGGCAGTTGTATTTACAAGTATTACCATTTCTCGCTTACGTTGCTGACTACTTGTAGACATCCTAGTTGATGTAAAATTGTTGACAGAGTTAAAATGATGTTGTGTGCCAGGAATTAATTTTGTAGGGAGTGTTTGGAATTACTTCATGTGACTGACCTATCAAAAGAAAAAAAAAACACTTAACTAGTTCTCTGTTTAAAAGGATGAACTATTCCTACAACAAGTGGAAACAGATCCTTCTGCTACCATGGGAAATCTATTTTTTCTTTCTTTTTGGGATGTCCTCTAGTATGAAGCCTGAGATATTATACTGATTGATTGTCTTGGAAATATGTCCACTAACTGTATCTTTCTTTTAATCTCAGCCAAAGTTTTCAAAGGTTTGCCGTAAGGACCTCGAAGAGAATAGATGATATATCTAAAATGGGTAACTAATAAACCAATATCTCTTCCTTGTTCTAGTCAAGTTTTCAGGCTGTTCTGAGCACATCTGTTTTCATACAAGCAGCTGTGCAGACTACCTCGAAGAGAATAGATGATCTATCTAAAATGGGTAACTAATATACCAATATCTCTTCCTTATTCTAGTCAAGTTTTCAGGCTGTTCTGAGCACATCTGTTTTCATACATGCAGCTGTGCAGACCAAGCGAAAAATTGCTGACCAGATCAAGGATGCGTCAAAAACCTTTGAGGTTTTAACTGTGAAACTCTTAAAAGTAATTATATCAAGTCTCAAACTAATGAGTAATTTACTAACTGATAATTTTTCTGCAGTCTTTCAAGAACAAGTGATTTGGAAGCAATGGTGTAAGGATGTACAGAGTTTGCTCTTTTCTCCCAAACTATTATTTTGAAGAAAATTGAGTCCTTGTTTCTGTGTGACTACGATGCCTCGAGGATAATTCCAGTTCTGTAATGTGGCTTTGTTGCACATGGCGGTGTAGAAGTGATCTTAGTAATGATGCCATAATGTTGCATCGTATTGTTTTCCCATTTTTGTCACTTTTGTGATGCGTTTTGCAAGTCGCTTGTCAATTTCGAATCATGCCTCTAGAAAGCATGTGGAAAAGGTGCACAGAGTAGCTGCTCAAACTTTGGTGAATCTATGCTCTATAGCGTGGCATTTTATCTTTTATGTACAGGAGAGGCTATGAGAATTGAGAACTATGCACACCTTTAGTCTTGTACTGAATTTTCTACAAGCAAACAGATTTTGGAAAAGCATTTGTTCATTCTTTTTGTAAGCTTAAATTAGCCTAGTGATTTGACCCTCTTTCTTTGTAGGTTTGGCCTTTCATATGCCCATGATCATAAATCATAATTTAAAAATATCAAGTCATCTTAAAATACAAAAATAAAATTAGGTTAAATATTTAATTGACCTATGTAAAACTAGAACATATATCCAATATTATTGTTAGCCTTTAGTGTCGAATTGATCTTTTTTTCTTTATTATTAATAGTATTGCTTTAAGTTTTTTTTTTTGAGTTACTAAGATATGTGGGCTATCTATAGTTCTTATTGAATTATTTAAAAATTTTAGTCTCAAACATGAAATAATATGTTAAGATAAAAATTCTGATAAAGTTTAAGAAATATTTGTAAATTATATCACAATTGTATACATATAATGTTAGATTGGTTTGAATTCTTTTTAGTTAAAACCAAATCAAACTAATTATGATCCAATTTTTTTCAATATCAAACCACTAATCAATTGTTATTATTCAATTCAACTCAAATAATCAATTTAGTGCAGTTTATCGGTTTTCCCTTTGTACCCCTAATACTCATTATGAAGTGTGCATGGCTAATTTTGAACCAGTCTTTTCTGATGACCTAACAAGTTCAAATGGTTAGACTGTCTACGTCCAATGAGAGTTTATGTACACGCTAGAGGATTATAGTGACATTTTTTTTTGTTTTTCATTCGATGTTCGGAGCCCATATTAGATCCCCGACTAAATTCGGATCGCGCACAGCAGGGCCTATTCGGGAGTGGCGCTCTCAACAAGATTTCCTCCATACTCAGGATTCAAACTCGAGATCTCTAATTAAGAGTGAAACAGTTTCACCACTACACCACAACTCATGTTGTATAGTGACAAAACTGCTTCTTATAAAGTCTTGCCAAGATGTACTAGTTAGGTTTTATTTTTTCTTCAATTAAAGTCAACATTTGTTACTTAGAAATTAGAATACTACAAATGAATTTTATTTTATTTTTAAAAAAAGATAGAGAAAACATAAATGGGGCAGGACAATTTTTTTTTGCAAAAATGCTGAACAGAGCAGAGCAAGGCAGGTAAAAAATTTAACGGGTGAAGGTTTATCCACTCTGCCCTATTTACATCCTTATTAATATATAGTGTTTAAGAGTCGTCCCACTTGACTCTAGTGTCATGACCTTTGAGCTCGAACCATTTTTCGTGTGCTTCAACTAATTTCACGGGATGTTTATCAACTTCCACTATTAACAACATATACGAGGTAATTGTCCACCCAGGCTAGGACAAGTGAGAAGAAGCACTACTTTTTTTTTTTTTATCTCCATTGAAATTTGAATGAGATTTTATGGGTTTCAACCATTTCATTAACCATTAGGTCGCACATTCGGGTGCAACCCCAAATCCCCAATTGTATTTGGCTCTTTGCATTTATTAATATATGAGAATCTTGAGTTTGCATCATCTTGGAAACTCAAAATCATGCACCCAAAACAAATGGTTTTGCTTGCTTTTTATATCTGTATGTTAATATTGAAATTAACCATGGCCCAAACCATCACTAGAGGTACCAATGTCACAAAACCAGGATGCCCTAAGCAGTGTGGGAATGTAACGGTTCCGTACCCATTCGGTATTGGCTCAGGCTGTGCTTTTGATTCGGGGTTCGAAATTGACTGCAACATTTATATTAATGGTTCTCAGAAAGCCCTTATAGCAAAGTACAATATTGAAGTGTACGACATTTCGGATGCTGAATTGCGCATCTCCTGTGACTTTGGTTGGAGATGTTACGACTCCACCGGAGCTCTGCTTGATCAGGATATGGTTTCCATCAACTTTTTAGAATCAAGTCCGTATAGTTTCTCTGCTCTGAACAGGTTTACTGTAGTTGGTTGCGATGACTATGGTTCCATCTTGGGGCCTAACAACTTTGAGTATGGCTGCAATGTCAGCTGTACAAGCAAAGAGGATGTGATGAACGGAGGAGAGTGTATGGGAAAAGGCTGCTGCCAGAAACAGATTCCTAAGGGCTTGAAATACTATAACACAACCATGTCTAGCACCGGAAACCATACCGACGTTTGGTCATTTAATTCATGTGGCTATGCATTTCTGGGCGAGGCTGATCGCTTCCATTTCCGGGGCTTGCCAGATCTAGGTGATGATCTAACTGTTGATTATTTTTATGAGAGGTTAAAGGCCACTGTGCCCATTGTGCTGGACTGGGCAATCGGGGGTCTTACTTGCGCGCAAGCTCTGAAAAGAGAGGATTATGCTTGTAGAGAAAATAGCCACTGTGTTGATTCGGATACTGGTCTTGGTGGCTACCGCTGCAGCTGTAATACAGGTTATCACGGCAATCCTTATCTCAATCAAGGCTGCCAAGGTATATATAGGAACAAGTTTGACTACCTTTAAACCTTATGCTGCATATTTGATCAACTCATGTGGTTTGATATAACAGTATTCTATTTATTTGGTTTTGCCAGATATTGATGAATGTGCTGATCCAAGCACCAATTCGTGTGAAAGGATATGCATAAACATTCCGGGGAGTTATAATTGCTCTTGTCCTGATGGATATACCGATGATGGCAAAAATGATGGTCGTGGTTGTATTCCTCCCTACTCTGTATTTCCATGGATCAAGTTCTCTTTAGGTAAATATCTTGGAGAACTTTCATAACTACAAATTTTGGTATCTACGATGATTATGATCTAAGACAAAGATCAACTCAATCTTTTTTCTTTTTGAAATCCAGACTATGTTTGAATAATACAGAATGTTTTTGGAACAATAAAAGTTGAATTCCACCTAATTATTCAGGTATCGGAATCAGCTTTATCTCCCTAGTGGTTGGGATAACCTGGCTCTATTTCAGCATCAAGAAAAGAAAATTGCTTAAAGTCAAAGAGAAGTTCTTCCAACAAAATGGTGGTTTATTATTGAAACAAACGATCTCCACTAAAGAGGGTGGTGTGGAAGCAACAAGAATATTTACAGCTGAGGAGCTCAAGAAAGCTACAAACAATTATGCCAATGACAGAATTCTTGGTCGTGGCGGCAATGGGATTGTATATAGAGGTGTGCTACGTGATGCTCGCATAGTTGCCATTAAAAAATCTAGAATTGTGGACGAGAGTCAAATTGAGCAATTTATCAATGAGGTGGTCATTCTAACTCAAATCAATCATCGGAACGTGGTAAGACTCTTTGGATGTTGTTTGGAAGATGAAGTTCCTTTATTGGTTTATGAGTGTGTCTCTGAAGGAAATCTTTACGAGCACATTCACAACCAACGTGGAGAGGGTTGGTTAACTTGGCAAAACCGTTTGAGAATTGCAGCAGAGACAGCAACTGCACTTGCTTACCTTCATTCATTTGCATCCATGCCTATAATTCATAGGGATGTTAAGTCTGCCAACATATTGTTAGATAATGTTTTACACAGCTAAAGTGGCAGATTTTGGAGCATCAAGGTTAATTCCTCTGGATCAAACACATGTGGCTACATTGGTTCAAGGGACATCAGGGTATTTGGATCCTGAATATTTTCGCACAAGTCAACTGACTGACAAAAGTGATGTTTACAGCTTTGGAGTAGTTCTGGCAGAACTTTTGACAGGGTTGAAACCTGTAATTAGAGATATAAACAATGAGCAAAAGAATTTGGCTGATTATTTTGTTTCGTCCTTGAATAACAATCTCTTATTTCAAATTATTAATCGTCGTGTTCTGCAAGAAGGGAATCTTGAGCAATTTCAAAAGATGGCTGAGCTGGTGAAGAACTGTCTTAACTTGCAAGGAGAAGATAGGCCTACAATGAAGGAAGTGGCTATTGAACTTGAATGTTTGAGGAAGTTAACTGGAGTTTCTTTGTCTAATCAACATGGACAGGGAGATAATGATCAGGATGACTTATCAGATCTTTACACAGTTCCAATAGACCCCTATGGAAATACCCCCAATTCAGATAGTTCTCACATAATGCATCCTACATACATTCCAAGTTGATGTTATGTAGGCTCCTTTCCTTTTTCCTCTCATTTTAGATTTTTCTTTAAGATACAGTGTTGGAGATTTTCGCAGATATCATATATCGTACCTTTTCATGATATGTGTCCATTTTTATTGCCAGTAAAGCTGATTAAATTGTTGAGAAAAGAGATCACCCTCCTAGCAGCAAATTTAAGGATTGTTTTAGATCACAAACTTCAAAAGTCTTCCTTTTTTTTCTTAAATATCGTGCCAAGTCAAATGGTGCCGCATAAAATGGAACGGAAGGAGTATTTAGCGAAACACTATGAGGGTAAGATGTGGTGGAGGATTCCCACTCCAACAAAGATGACTTGTAGGAATCAGAAACCTAAAATTTGGCTTTGTTGCATATGGCAATGTAGAAGTGGTCTCAGTAGTGATGTCATGTTGCATTGTATGTGATATTTTTTTTCCCTTTGTGATGTGTTTTGCAAGTCGCTTGGATTTCCTGTAAGCGATTCTACTGCTCGTGTCTCTATAAAGCATGTGAAATAATTGCACTTCTTCCATGTAATATTGTCAAGCATATAGGATATGGAATTTATTATGACTGTCTTTCAAATATTCAAAAAGAGTATCCAGAGTTTGAACAGAGTAGCTTGGGCAATTCTTCCTTATCCAAATATTTGTGCCTCTAGTATTGCCTAGATAACGTTTTACCCAGTTATGTCCATAACATATTTGTTTAATGAATATAAGAAAGTATTGATTATATTCCGTGGGTATTTAGAGGATGTTTTTCTTTTTGGTTTTTGTGTTTCTCATATACAGATAACAGATCATATCTCTACGCCGCTGAAATAATAAATATTGTATACAGACAGCAATTCCTCTGTTTGATGATTCTGAATTTCAAAAACAAAGTGCTTAAAACACTAAGTAGACTGGAATTAGGATTACAGAC